AGGGGATCTCCAAGAGCTACGTCTTCAGGGGGACCAAGGACCTGAATGCCAAGCAGCTGCAGGTATCTGACCTCTCTCCTCGTGCTCACTAACACTAGTCCATCATCCAGACCCTCTGGTTCTGACACCTCTGGGTCCGGGTTGCAGTGGCAGCAGGCTAAGCTAAGTACCTTACATGTGCTGGGTCCTACAGGTCCCCCTGGTGGTCTGCTGACTCTGCAGCGACCCACCTGCTGGTCTCACGTCCTTCTGACCCTCACCCTCAGATACTCCCTACTGTACCTGCCACGTTTATGTCCAGGCTTACAGGTGGTCTGGCCCCGAGGCCCCCTTGTCATTCCTTTAGACCTGAGCCCGCCTGGGCCCAGTGGGTGAAGCTGGGCCGCCTCCCGGGCCTGGTTCCAGGAGGGTGTTGTAGTGTTGCAGGTAGCTGCCGGCACTAACGGGCTGAATCTGGTGCTGAACTGATTGTCTGGGTCTTTGCAGGAGATGCTCGGTCTGACCAAACCCTCAGCCGCTCAGGGACGAGGTCCTCAAACGGCCCCGCAGCCTCTGTCCAACAGGTAAACACACATGTCAGCAGCAGGATCTGGATCCCAGGGTCAGCAACATGTTTCAGCCCTCAGAGTATCACGTGTGTTCTCACCTCAGGTTCCTGCAGCCGGTGCAGAAGATTGACATGAACCTGACCGACCTGTTGGGGGAGCTGCAGCGAGACCCCTGGCCCGTCACTCAGGGAAAGAGGCCTCTTCGCTCGCTGGGCGTCGCCATGTCCATCGCTGTGGGCCTGCTGGAGGTGAGAGGGGTCCAGGTTTCAGGTTTCAGTCTTCAGCTTTCAGAAAATTCAGAAATTCCCACCCCTAAAGGTGACGCATTGTGATGCCTGGAGATACCGAATCAAATCGTGAGACCAGTAAAGATGCACACCCCAATTCTGTATATCCGCAGATTTCAGCACCACGACTAACAGAGTCTGCGTTTCTACCCACAGTGCACCTTCCCCAACACGGGCGCTCGCATCATGACGTTCGTTGGCGGTCCGGCGACGCAGGGCCCCGGCATGGTGGTGGGAGACGAACTGAAGACCCCCATCAGGTCCTGGCACGACCTGGAGAAGGACAACGCCAAGTTCATGAAGAAAGCTACCAAGGTGAGAGAGAAGGGCGTTGAATGATGAGGTTCTTTACTTCTCCAGCTGGCGGTGAGCCGGCAGAGGGTGGGGCCACATACTGACCTCATCACTGCGTGTCTGTGTGTTGTAGCACTACGAGTCTTTAGCTAACCGAGCGTCCACTAACGGTCACATCATCGACATCTACGCCTGCGCTCTCGATCAGACCGGCCTGCTGGAGATGAAGTGCTGCGCCAACTACACCGGGTATACACACACACACGCTCACGCACACACACACACACAGATGGTTTCCTGCTCATCGTCCTCCAGTCAGCTGTTTCATCATGTAAAGGCTGGTTTGTGGACGATCAGAGAAACACCTTTCTTCATGTGACGTCGCTGTGACAGGAGGGAGAAAATTTACCTTTTATGTTTACCTTTTACTTTTACATTTATTTTTTACTTTTTAGTTTTTACTTTTACATTTATTTTTTACATTTACATTTTTTTATTTACATTTTATATTTACATTTAACTTTTTATTTTTCATATTTACTTTTACATTTAGTTTACATTTACTTTTTATATTTACATTTACTTTTTACATTTATTTTTTACATTTACATTTTTTTATTTGCATTTTATATTTACATTTAACTTTTTACTTTTCATATTTACTTTTACATTTAGTTTACATTTACTTTTGACTTTTTATATTTACATTTAACTTTTGACTTTTTATATTTATATTTACATTTACACATTTACTTTTTACATTTAGCAGACACTTTAGTCCAAAGGGACTAAAGAAGAAAGTGAAACAAGTTTCTTACAATTAACTGCGAGGTTAGCTCGTAGACAGCTAAGAGGCTACACAGTGCTAAGTACTATGGGTGCACTTTAGGAAAGGGGGGGGATCTTGAATCTCACATGTAGAGACGTACGACTGAGACAACATCACAGGTGTGTAAAGGCAGGAAGCAGTATCTTTAAGTTAGCAGTCTTCCACAGTCGGGGAGTAATCTGATTACTGAACGGCTGTGTGGAAACAGGTTTACAGCCACCAGGTTACCTCACGGAAACACAAAGATAAAGAAGTTTCACCTCCGCTGACAGAATCCACCTTTAATGATCTGAGAAGGTTCAAAGCACAAAAGGAAATTCACCTGTAGAATATTTAGTGTAGGAGGCAGCTCAGAGATCCAGGTGTCCCTCAACCCACCAGAACCCATGACAGAGCATCACATACCTGTGATGGACCCACAGGCTCCTGATGTTTCACAAACGTCCTGCAGGTGAACGGAGGGATTTAGTCCTCTGAGCTGCTGCAGGAAGTGCTGAATGTGTGTTTGTACTTCCTGGTCTCTGCAGAGGCTACATGGTGATGGCGGACTCCTTCAACACGTCTCTGTTTAAACAAACCTTCCAGAGAGTCTTCACCAAAGATGTCCAGGGATCCTTCAAGATGGCGTTCGCCGCCACGCTGGAAGTCAAGGTACGAACTGCAGCTGACCAACGCCAGGTCACCTGACCAGAGTCGTGTGCAGAGAAATGTCAGTGATTATCAGGCTGAGGCTCTAATCAGAGAGAATCACCTGACAGGTGGCGGCAGCTCATAACAGAAACACATATGAAAAGTTAGTCTGCAGAAAAACATCTCTGAACAAACTCCAGGACCCTAAAGCTCATGAGACGGGACTATACAGACGGATGGGCACCAGAACCCTGGGTCACCTGCAGGCAGAGGCCCCGCCCCAGGTCACCTGTCTCACAAGTGAATAAAGTGTTGTGTTTTGTTTCAGACCTCCAGAGAGATCAAAGTATCGGGAGCGATCGGCCCCTGCGTGTCTTTGCACGCTAAAGGACCCTGTGTCTCTGAGAACGTATGTAGCACGCCGCTGACCTTTGACCTTTAACTGATAACTGTGAAAGTCCTCCTGTCCTCTGCTCTCACCTTAGCTTAAAAACTGTTAGCCTAGCTTAGCACAATGCCTGGAAGCAGGGGGAAAGTGTTAGCCTAGCTTAGCACAAGGCCTGAAAACAGGGGGAAGCTATTAGCCTAGCTTAGCACAAAAAGTGGAAGCAGGGGGAAACTGTTAGCCTAGCTTAGCACAAAGACTGGAAGCAGAGGGAAACTGTTAGCCTAGCTTAGCACAAGGCCTGAAAACAGGGGGAAGCTATTAGCCTAGCTTAGCACAAAAAGTGGAAGCAGGGGGAAACTGTTAGCCTAACTTGGCACAAAGACTGGAAGCAGAGGGAAACTGTTAGCCTAGCTTAGCACAAAAAGTGGAAGCAGGGGGAATCTGCTAGCTTTGCACAAAAAGTGGAAGCAGGGGGAAACTGATAGCCTAGCTTAGCACAAAACTTGGAAGCACGGGGAAACTGATAGCCTAGCTTAGTACAAAAAGTGGAAGTTGGGGGAAACTGTTAGCCTAGCTTAGCACAGAACGTGGAAGCAGGGAGAAACTGAAAGCCTAGCTTAGGCAAAAAGACTGGAAGCAGGGGGAATCTGTTAGCCTAGCTTAGCACAAAATGTGGAAGCAGGGTGAAACTGATAGCGTAGTTCAGCACTAAAAGTGGAAGCAGGGGGAAACTGATAGTCTAGCTTTGCACAAAAAGGGGAAGCAGGGGGAAACTGTTAGCCTAGCTTAGCACAGAATGTGGAAGCAGGGGGAAACTGAAAGCCTAGCTTATCAAAAAGACTGGAAGCAGGGGGAATCTGCTAGCTTTGCACAAAACTTGGAAGCAGGGGGAATCTGTTAGCCTAGCTTAGCATGAGGCCTGAAAGCAGGGGGAAGCTGTAAGCCTAGCTTAGCACAAAAAGTGGAAGCAGGGGGGAATCTGTTAGCCTAGCTTAGCACAAAACATGGAAGCAGGGGGAAACTGTTAGCCTAACAGTAGTTAAATCCTCTGTTTCATTACCAAAATTACTGTTGTACGTGTACTGTGTTATACTTAGTACACACTGACTGTATTATACTACACTGTAGTTCTTCGTACTGTACAGTAACACGTTCTGTGTGTACTACAGGAGATCGGGACGGGAGGAACGTGTCAGTGGAAGATCTGCGGTTTGGATCCGACCACTACTCTGGCTCTTTACTTCGAGGTGGTCAACCAGGTACAAACACGTGACCTCTGACCTCTAGCTGGTCTGAGATCAGTCTGAAACTGCTGATTGACTGATTTTGCCAAAATAACAAAATAACAGCACCAGCTCTGGTCACACTCATTGTGAGGGCTGCAGGCACACAAGAAAAGAAACACACAAAAGGCCATATCCATTAATAGTGTTTATTATTATTATATAACCAGATGTCTGGCTCCTTGGATATGATGAAGTCAGAGACGCTCTTCTTCTTACATATTAAATCAGCTCAACTCAGCTAGAACCAGAACCGGTTTATGAATAGAAACACATTTCAGAGTGGTTTCCTGTGATAGATTCAGCTGGGTTGAGTTCCGTCCTCAGCAGCGCCGGATCAACACGTTATATTTCAGTGAGTCAGCGTCTGCAGCATCAGGCTGGCTTCTCAACACCACATATCCGGGTCTGGATCCTGATGGATATATAATCCCTCCAGTGTCTTCTGGGTCGTCCTGGACTCCCCTCACAGTCATGGAGGCGTCCAGGAGGATCCTCATCAGATGCTGAATCACCTCAACTTAAACTCCGTTCCGCCGAGGCTGGTAGGATTTTGTGGCGAGAGAAGACTTTGACCTGATGATGACTGACATTCTCCTTCAAACAAAGCATTTGGTCGTCTTTCTGAAGTAGAAATGTAGAGATGGGGCTACGTCTTAAAAAAAGTTGCGACAAAACCATTGTCTGAAACCGACGGTCCAACAGTCACACCTGCTTTACGTAAAGACTGGCCAGGTGTGGAGGTGTGAGCAAAACCTGAAAGATGGAGGTAAACATCTCTGTCAGCTGGATTTAAAGCTCTGAATGTGATGGAGGAGGAATGTCTTCAACATATGAACTGAAATGGAAGGCTGAACTACATTTCCCACAGTGCAGTGTGGCTGTCACTGGTCAGGTGTTTCTGTGTTTGGACCTGATGATGATGTCGAGGGCGTATCTGCTGTTGTTGCGTTGATCAGGGTGGTGTTGGTCTTTCTGGTGATGACGACAGGCGTGTTGCCGCCGTAGTTGTCATGCTGATGTGATTGGGTGTGTCCAGTTGGAGGGCGGAGCTCTGTGGGCGGGGCTCCAGAGGCGTAACAGAACACATCCGAATAAACCTGCAGACGCTGCGACGCACCGCCACCCTGTACCTCCTGGAGACACACGAACAGACAGAAGTTATTTTTCCATCCAGAGGGACGTCATTGTGTTTTATTGCTTCATTACTAATCTAATTTATGAAAACGGTAATATCCTACAATTAAATTAAATTTATATAGCACCAAATCACAACAACAGCTATCTCATTGCACTTTCATATAGAGAAGGTCCTTTCTGTGATAATACAGTATGCACCGGCGATACTGACCGTTGGGTATTTCACTGCAGTTTATCTTTATGACCACATCACAACCAACCAAAAACTAGCTAGTCCTATACTGTAGCTAGCTGCAGAGGTCTGGGGACCAGCCGTAGAGGTGATACTGACTGTTGGGTATTTCACTGCGGTTTATCTTTAAACTTTTAACTGCTTCATCCTTACTCACGACTGCCTTTACGAAATCTTACTTACGTCTGCGTCATACAGGTGATCCAGGGGTTGAGGGCAGCGCTGGTCAGGACCAGCCAGGCGGAGAGGGCAGAGGTCACAGCAGGACTCTGTTGACCGCTAAGTGTCTCGTACAGACACACTGAGATGTAGGGCAGCCAGCACACCAGCAAACACACTGAGAAACACACAGGAAACTGTCAGCACATAACCAGGAACACATGACCACATCAGAACCAACCAAAAACTAGCTAGTCCCATACTGTAGCTAGCTGCAGAGGTTTGAGGACTAGTTGTAGAGGTCTGGGGACTAGTTGTTGTTGAAGTCTGGGTACCAGCTGTAGCGGTCTGGGGACTAGTTGTTGTAGAGGTCTGGGGACTAGTTGTTGTTGAAGTCTGGGTACCAGCTGTAGCGGTCTGGGGACTAGCTGTTGTAGAGGTCTGGGGGACTAGTTGTTGTAGAGGTCTGGGGGACTAGCTGTTGTAGAGGTCTGGGGACTAGTTGTTGTAGAGGTCTGGGGGACTAGTTGTTGTAGAGGTCTGGGGGACTAGCTGTTGTAGAGGTCTGGGGACTAGTTGTTGTAGAGGTCTGGGGGACTAGTTGTTGTAGAGGTCTGGGGGACTAGCTGTTGTAGAGGTCTGGGGACTAGTTGTTGTAGAGGTCTGGGGGACTAGTTGTTGTAGAGGTCTGGGGGACTAGCTGTTGTAGCGGTCTGGGGACTAGTTGTTGTAGAGGTCTGGGGGACTAGTTGTTGTAGAGGTCTGGGGGACTAGCTGTTGTAGAGGTCTGGGGACTAGTTGTTGTAGAGGTCTGGGGGACTAGTTGTTGTAGAGGTCTGGGGGACTAGTTGTTGTAGAGGTCTGGGGGACTAGCTGTTGTAGAGGTCTGGGGGACTAGCTGTTGTAGAGGTCTGGGGACTAGCTGTTGTAGAGGTCTGGGGACTAGCTGTTGTAGAGGTCTGGGGACTAGCTGTTGTAGAGGTCTGGGGACTAGCTGTTGTAGCGGTCTGGGGACTAGCTGTTGTAGAGGTCTGGGGACTAGCTGTTGTAGAGGTCTGGGGACTAGTTGTTGTAGAGGTCTGGGGGACTAGCTGTTGTAGAGGTCTGGGGACTAGTTGTTGTAGAGGTCTGGGGGACTAGCTGTTGTAGAGGTCTGGGGACTAGTTGTTGTAGCGGTCTGGGGACTAGCTGTTGTAGAGGTCTGGGGGACTAGCTGTTGTAGAGGTCTGGGGGACTAGCTGTTGTAGAGGTCTGGGGACTAGTTGTTGTAGAGGTCTGGGGACTAGTTGTTGTAGAGGTCTGGGGACTAGCTGTTGTAGAGGTCTGGGGGACTAGCTGTTGTAGAGGTCTGGGGGACTAGTTGTTGTAGAGGTCTGGGGGACTAGCTGTTGTAGAGGTCTGGGGACTAGCTGTTGTAGAGGTCTGGGGACTAGCTGTTGTAGAGGTCTGGGGGACTAGTTGTTGTAGAGGTCTGGGGGACTAGCTGTTGTAGAGGTCTGGGGGACTAGCTGTTGTAGAGGTCTGGGGACTAGTTGTTGTAGAGGTCTGGGGGACTAGTTGTTGTAGAGGTCTGGGGGACTAGTTGTTGTAGAGGTCTGGGGGACTAGTTGTTGTAGAGGTCTGGGGGACTAGCTGTTGTAGAGGTCTGGGGGACTAGCTGTTGTAGAGGTCTGGGGACTAGCTGTTGTAGAGGTCTGGGGACTAGCTGTTGTAGAGGTCTGGGGACTAGCTGTTGTAGAGGTCTGGGGACTAGCTGTTGTAGCGGTCTGGGGACTAGCTGTTGTAGAGGTCTGGGGACTAGCTGTTGTAGAGGTCTGGGGACTAGTTGTTGTAGAGGTCTGGGGACTAGCTGTTGTAGAGGTCTGGGGACTAGTTGTTGTAGAGGTCTGGGGGACTAGCTGTTGTAGAGGTCTGGGGACTAGTTGTTGTAGCGGTCTGGGGACTAGCTGTTGTAGAGGTCTGGGGGACTAGCTGTTGTAGAGGTCTGGGGACTAGCTGTTGTAGAGGTCTGGGGACTAGTTGTTGTAGAGGTCTGGGGACTAGTTGTTGTAGAGGTCTGGGGGACTAGCTGTTGTAGCGGTCTGGGGGACTAGCTGTTGTAGAGGTCTGGGGACTAGTTGTTGTAGAGGTCTGGGGGACTAGCTGTTGTAGAGGTCTGGGGACTAGCTGTTGTAGAGGTCTGGGGACTAGCTGTTGTAGAGGTCTGGGGACTAGCTGTTGTAGCGGTCTGGGGGACTAGCTGTTGTAGAGGTCTGGGGACTAGCTGTTGTAGCGGTCTGGGGACTAGCTGTTGTAGAGGTCTGGGGGACTAGCTGTTGTAGAGGTCTGGGGGACTAGCTGTTGTAGAGGTCTGGGGACTAGCTGTTGTAGAGGTCTGGGGACTAGCTGTTGTAGAGGTCTGGGGACTAGCTGTTGTAGCGGTCTGGGGACTAGCTGTTGTAGAGGTCTGGGGACTAGCTGTTGTAGAGGTCTGGGGACTAGTTGTTGTAGAGGTCTGGGGGACTAGCTGTTGTAGAGGTCTGGGGACTAGCTGTTGTAGAGGTCTGGGGGACTAGCTGTTGTAGAGGTCTGGGGACTAGTTGTTGTAGCGGTCTGGGGACTAGCTGTTGTAGAGGTCTGGGGGACTAGCTGTTGTAGAGGTCTGGGGGACTAGCTGTTGTAGAGGTCTGGGGACTAGTTGTTGTAGAGGTCTGGGGACTAGTTGTTGTAGAGGTCTGGGGGACTAGCTGTTGTAGCGGTCTGGGGGACTAGCTGTTGTAGAGGTCTGGGGACTAGTTGTTGTAGAGGTCTGGGGGACTAGCTGTAGTCTGGTTAATGTGGTTTATGTGTTGTCCACTCTGTCTGCAGGCTGCTGCGGTGACCTTTGACCCTCCTGTTTTTTATGACTGTGTGTCATTATAATGAGAGTAATGACAGTAAGTCATAAACAGAAGCTGAGTCTTCAACCTCTCTGCTCCTGCTGTCATGGCAGCATGTTCCTATGATTCTACTCTGTGTTGAGTTTTATTAGCAGGACAGCACAGAGTGTTGACGGATCATATTTAAGTATAAACTGCTGTCCTCTGCAGTTACAGAGCTGTTTCTGTGAATGCTTAAATAATGGCTAGTGTTTATAAAAGGCCCAAATAATAGCTTCAGCAAATAACATCCTTCTTTTAATAAAACGTTGTGGTGTAGGTGGGGGTGGCCTGGTTGGAGGTGGAGCATTAATGCATGTAATGTCTCACATTATAAGTTTAGGAGAATGTACGTTTTTCCTTTACAACCAAGGCCGTAACCAGGGTTTTAGGGTCAGTCTACCACCCTCCAAAAAGAAACTTTTAGCATTATTTAAAAAATAATTTGCCTAAAACGTATCCTGACATGTTGGATCTTTGGAAACTTTGTGATCTCTGCTAGAATTTAAAATAAAGCTCCGTAGGTTTGGACAGAGTTTGGACAAACCTAAAGACAGACGAGGCCTGGTAGGTCGTGTCTGGGACCAAACAGTGTGGAGCTCACCTGAGGTTGTGACCATCACCATGGAGCTCCTCAGGTAATTGTTGGCAGGAACGTGGTAGCAGTGCAGCTCATTGCACATGAAGGTTCCCTTCCTGGCCTGTTTCCTGGCCACGTAGACGATGTACCCGTACAGAGAGCACATAGTGAGGATTGGCGCCACGATACCCGCTAACATCCACAGCACCACAAAATATCTGTTGTCAGGGGTGAAGCTCGGGCAGCAGAGGAACCGCGACTCGCTGTAGACGTAGCTGCCGAAGCCCAGCAGGGGCAGAGCGGCATTCACCAGGCAGAACAACCAAACCAGAACCAGCACCACCTGGCGTCGCCTGGCTGTCCAGATTCTGCTGTAGCTGAGGGCGAAGCAGATCTCAGTGAACTTGTCAAAGGTGGCCCAGGTGAGTGAGTGGATGGAGGTGGTCTGCAGGAGGAGGTAGATGAAGCCGCTGCCCTGACAGAAGGCGCCCTCGCTGGGGCAGCAGGAGGGCCAGGCCAGGCTGCTGTAGACCCCAAAGGGGATGGTGGAGAGTCCAAGGGCCAGGTCGCTCAGGCTGACGCTCAGGGTGAGGCCCATCGTGTCTGTCCAGAGCTCCTTGTTCAGGAGGAGCACCAGCAAGAGGAGGAGGTTCCCACAGGTGGAGGCCACGCCCGACAGAACCATTAGAGCGGCGTACAGTGTCCTCAGAGCGTCCGCCATCTTTAGACGGACTCACAGGACAGGAAGGACGACAGCAATTAATTCACAGATCAGACTGGACGTAAGAGGGCACTTTCACATGAGACCTGATTGTCCAGAACCAGCAGGAATCTAAACGTGTTCGGCTGCAGTACCTTTAATCTCCACTGGACATGCTGCTCCGATCAATCCCTGAATCAGAGTTCAGTCTCAGCTGGTGATCTCAGTCTGGGGCAGATTTTCAGAATAAAGGCTCCAGAAGTCTGGGATCTCGGATATTGAGCATTAAAGTGAAGAATGTTCTGGGATCTCACAGGTCATCACACCTCAGCTTGCTCCTCTTCCTCCTGCCTCCAGGACGATGCCAAAGTTGAACCCCGGCCCTTTCAAAACAAGCAGATTACTCACTCATCCAAGAAATCTTTATTAACCATCAGAAAACTGTCCCTGACCCAGGTCATGCTATATTCCCAGGGTACGTCTAATCAGGTCGAGTTTCCTTTGACTTACCACTTCTAGATCTTATTGTTTTCTCAAAAACAGAACAAACGATCAACTAATCGATTAATGGTCCTCAGAAACCAGACCCTTGCAGCTCCAAACCTCTTCACTGTCTGAGGTCCAGACCTGAACAGAAGTCTCTCATATAAACAGACTGTAAATCCATAAGCTTGTGGTCTGGATCACTGGTTGGACCTCAGTCACCACAGTGTTTAACTGATTTGTGATGAATCACAGTGGTGATCTAACCGAGCCTGAACTCTCAGAGGAAAGTTCACTGTGGGTCATGTTTTATCATCAGAGACCCATTAAAGTATAAACAGCAGCTTTACTGCCTTCTTTACTGTATCTACACCCGCATCTGTCTTTACTGCCACTTCAACTGTCTTTACAGCTGCTTCAAATGACTTTACAGCATCTTCTACCATCTTTACTGCCACTTCAACTGTCTTTACAGATGCTTCTACTGTCCTTACTGCCACTTCAACTAAATTTACACCCGCTTCTACCGTCTTTACTGCCACTTCAACTGACTTCACTGCCACTTAAACTGTCTGTACAGCTGCTTCAAATGACTTTACAGCTGCTTCTACTGTCCTTACAGCTGCTTCAACTAAATTTACACCCGCTTCCACCGTCTTTACTGCCACTTCAACTGACTTTACTGCCACTTAAACTGTCTCTACAGCTGCTTCAAATTACTTTACAGCTGTTTCTATTGTCCTTACTGCCACTTCAGCTGACTTTACACCCGCTTCTACCGTCTTTACTGCCACTTCAACTGACTTTACACCCGCTTCTACCGTCTTTACTGCCACTTCAACTGACTTTACAGCTGCTTCTACTGTCCTTACTGACATTTAAATTGTCTTTACAGCATCTTCTGCTGTCTTTACTGCCACTTCAAATGACTTTACAGCTGCTTCTGCTGTCTTTACAGATGCTTCTACTGTCCTTACAGCTGCTTCAACTAAATTTACACCCGCTTCTACCGTCAGTTCGTCTACTGTCTTTACTGCCACTTCAACTAAATTTATACCCACTTCTATCGTCTTTACTGCCACTTCAACTGACTTTACTGCCACTTCAAATGACTGTCCAGCTGCTTCAAATGACGTTACAGCTGCTTCAACTAAATTTACACCCGCTTCTACCGTCTTTACTGCCACTTCAACTGACTTTACTGCCACTTCATCTGACTTTACTGCCACTTCAACTGTCTGTACAGCTGCTTCAAATGACTTTACAGCTGCTTCTACTGTCCTTACTGCCACTTAAACTGACTTTACACCCGCTTCTACCGTCTTTACTGCCACTTTAACTGTCTTTACTGCCGTTTCAACTTTCTTTACAGCTGCTTCAAATTACTTTACAGCTGCTTCTACTGTCCTTACTGCCACTTAAACTGACTTTACACCCGCTTCTACCGTCTTTACTGCCACTTTAACTGTCTTTACTGCCGTTTCAACTTTCTTTACAGCTGCTTCAAATTACTTTACAGCTGCTTCTACTGTCCTTACTGCCACTTAAACTGACTTTACAGCTGCTTCTACTGTCCTTACTGCCACTTAAACTGACTTTACACCCGCTTCTACCGTCTTTACTGCCACTTCAACTGACTTTACACCCGCTTCTACCGTCTTTACGTCCACTTCAACTGTCTTTACAGCTGCTTCAACTGACTTTACAGCTTCTTCTACCGTCTTTACTGCCTTTGAGTCTTTACAGTCACTTGTCTTTACTGCCATTTCAAATGTCTTTACGCCCACTTCTTATCTGGCTTTAGTTTTCCTGTCTTGTTCTTTCTGCCATCTTTATTTCACCTCAGCTTCACCTGGACTTCCTGTTTAGAAGCATTGAGTTTTCTGGCTCCCAGAATTCAGACTCAGTCAGTGAAAACACCAAACGTCCGTGTTGTTCCGTGTTGTTGACACCAGACGTCAGTAAATCCTGCTGAGCTGGTTGGTTGGACCTCTGTCCCCACAGAGATCAGCTCAGTTTAGGTTTGATGAGACACCGTAAAGCAGCCACTGAGTAACCTTCCCTGAGTTTCCACCGGTGGAACCAGAGTCTTAATCGGTTCCTGGCCCCCCTAAGAGTCTCCCAGTTCTGCACCCTTAAACTCTCAGTGACCCCGGATGTCTGGAGCACTGGAGGGGGAAACACCAACCGTATAAGACTCCGGTCCTGCTGCTGAGGTCCCTTCAGTCGTCTTTCTCCGAACAGCAAAGGTCAAAGGTCAAAGCAGACTAAAGCCTGTAATCAATATCAGCCATCAGTTTCATCCTCATCGTCTTTAAATGTGAGCCGAGACCATCAGAGTCTGATCGGCTCTGAGTCTGAACAAGGACTGCAGGAGGCGTGTCCTGCTGAGTGTGCACACCTGTCAGTTACCTGCTGGGATGATGATGAGGACACACACACACACACACACACACACACACACACACACACACACACACACACACACACACACACACACACAGGATATTGGCTGTTCAGGTGGTGTTGACATAACAGTGTGTGTGTCCTCTCATCATCATCCCAGCAGGTGACTGACAGGTGCACCGTGGCAACACTACCTCTGGAGACGCACACATACACTGTTATGTCAACACAGCCTGTGTGTGTGTGTGTGTGTGTGTGTGTGTCCCACAGTGACTCAGGTAATAACAGGTGTTCAGGTGTGTAATCATCATCATCATCCTGTTGCTAAGGAGCCTCAGACCACTGAGGAGCTCAGGTTCAGGTGTGAAGCGGCCAATCAGAGAGCAGAGTGTATGTGGATCGTTTGGACCGGCCTCGTCATTACCAACACGCCTCTCGTCAGACTTCTGAATGTAGAGATCAGGTTGTCGATTGATAACTGATCCTCAGTCCTGATGTTTCCAGCTGCTGAACCTGTTTGTTGTTTGTGTGTTGCAGCAAACGCTCCGATCCCTCAGGGCGGCCGCGGAGCGATACAGTTCGTCACCCAGTACCAACACTCGTCCGGACAGAGGCGCATCAGAGTCACCACCACCGCCAGGAAGTATGACCACACACACAGCCATGTTCCCATCACCTCAGAGACTCACCCTAACCTTAAAGTCTTCATCCTAAAACTTAATGATGTTGCTGCAGCGGCCTGTGTATTGGAAATCTACACAGCTGATTTCTCACCTCAAAACTTCTCAGAAGTGGATTTAGTGATGAAATAACGTGTGAAAACTGTAAAATATAAAACTTCCTGCTGCTGACCTCTGATGCAGTGAATAGTGAATATTCTCTCTGACCAATCAGCAGTCTGTCGTGTTTTCACGTCACATTTTAGTTTCGCCTCAGCTCGCTTGGAACCTCGACGGAGGTGATAAAAAAAATAGTACCTGGATGCAGGTACAGGTGCAAGTTTTCCACAATGGAAACCAAACAAAGGCGAGACGAGCTGGTACCGTGCGGTGGAAAAGGGATTATGGATAAAGCAGGAAACGTCTCTAAAATGTTCCCAGTCTCGTTAGACATCTCGGCTCCAGAGACTGGTGTTTTCCTCTTCATGAGTAGCCTCAGAGTCATGGCAGACCGAGGAAGCCCCCAGGCACTTCCTGCAGCTACAGATGAACGACCAGAGACGTTCTTAAGGGAACATTGTTATCTCTGAAGAACATCTCTGGAACGATTCTGAGTCGATGTATTAAGGCTCATCTTCTTCTCTTCCCCTCTTCATCCTCTCCCCCCTCCAGCTGGGCGGATGCTCAGACTCAAATCCAGAGCATCGCAGCGTCCTTCGATCAGGAGGCGGCGGCCATCTTGATGGCGAGGTTGGCGGTGTACCGAGCGGAGACGGAGGAGGGTCCTGATGTCCTGCGATGGTTGGACAGACAGCTGATCAGACTGGTGTGCAGACAGCTGAACATACAAACATGTCTTAATAATTATCTTAATGAATTAAAGGCTGACGTGACCTTTGATTTGTTTTCAGTGTCAGAAGTTTGGAGATTACCACAAAGACGATCCAAACTCCTTCAGGTTCTCCGAGACTTTCTCCCTCTACCCTCAGGTGAGCTACATCCCAGAAAACTCTGCTGTACACACTGTCAATACACCTTTAACCTGTGTTTCTTTTTACAGTTCATGTTCCACCTGCGGCGCTCTCCGTTCCTGCAGGTGTTCAACAACAGTCCAGACGAGAGCTCTTATTACAGACCCATTTCAACAGACAGGACCTGACCCAGGCCCTCATCATGATCCAACCTGTGCTCTACGCCTATTCATTCAGCGGGCCACCTGAGGTAGATATACACCTGTAGAGAGACACGCGCACACGTAGAGAGACACGCGCACACGTAGAGAGACACGCGCACACGTAGAGAGACACGCAGAGAGACACGCGCACACGTAGAGTGACACGCAGAGAGACACGCGCACACGTAGAGTGACACGTAGAGAGACACGCGCACACGTAGAGAGACACGCAGAGAGACACGCGCACACGTAGAGAGACACGCAGAGAGACACCTGCAGGTATACACACAAACGTGTAGATACATACACACACACATGTGCACCTGCAGGTATACACACACAAACACACGCACCTGTAGGTATACGCACGCTGTCACAATCACTGTCTCAGTGATTGATCAGTGATCAGAGTTTGTTGTGTGTTTCAGCCCGTCCTGTTGGACAGCAGCAGCATCCTGCCCGACCGAATCCTGCTGATGGACACCTTCTTCCAGATCCTCATCTACCACGGAGAGGTGCACACACAAACACACACACACAGAGTATGCAGGTCAACACACGCTGTTGTTTTGCTAACCAGCATACTGATGCATGTAAACACCTGAAGCAGGTGTGACCTCCTGACGTTGTGTACACACAAACACAAATATGCAGACACACTCTGTTCATGTGTTTATGTAGACACACACACACACGCTTCACCTGCTGTGTGTCACATGATGACCTTCCTCTCCCCCCTCTCCTCCTCATTAACCCCTCGTCACCGTCTGTCAGACCGTCGCTCAGTGGAGGAAGGCCGGGTATCAGGAAATGGCCGAGTACGAGAACTTCAGGCACCTCCTCCAGGCACCGGTGGACGACGCCCAGGAGCTGCTGCACACTCGCTTCCCCATGCCCAGATACATCGACACGGAGCACGGCGGCAGCCAGGTGGGGCCGCTAACACATGCATCACTGTACACAGGTGTACCTGAGAGTACACTCTATACGCTACATTACTATATTGTTGTACTACGTAGTACGATACAGTGAAGAAAAAACTATTCATCACAAATAATTAAATCAAGTCAGTTTTATTTATAAAGCCTAAGATCACATCGTCATATCAGTAGAAATAGAAATGAAGTTGGGAAATAGAATATAAGTATGAAGTCTAAATTTAACTAAGAGTGTAGAAATGTAAAGTATTTTACAGAAGGTATAGTAGGTATAAGTTTTATTAATATTTCAAAGCGTCTAAACTAAGATGAGCTGAGACGAAACTACACAAGTTTCATAGTATAAATACACATTAATACATGTACACAGAGTGAGTTGAACCTTTTGGAGTTCTGAGTATCACGTTCACCGCTTGATGTCTTCCAGGCTCGCTTCCTGCTCTCCAAAGTCAACCCCTCCCAGACTCACAACAACATGTACACCTGGGACAGGTGAGCCTCTGACCTTTGACCTTTAGCTTCAGTGTTGACGTGGAACCCGTTGTGACGTTCCGTTTCCTCCGCAGGAGTCCGGCGCTCCCATTCTGACCGACGACGTCAGCCTGCAGGTGTTCATGGATCACCTGAAGAAGCTCGCCGTCTCCAGCGCCGCCTGAACTCGCCTGCCACCTCTTCACCTGTCCACGTTATGTTTGTTCTTTACTTTTGCATTCGCTGCCTACAACCAGCCAACCAACAAGCCGTGTTAACGTCCTCGTATCAGCCAATCAGCAGCAGGTTCAGAACCGTGTCACCTTTCTTCTGCACGACATTTTTACACCTGCAGCCTCTTGAATGTTTAAATGCGACGAGCTGAGAAGCAGTTAGACATGTTCGTCACACAGTTTCAGAAGGTTAATATGTCCTTTCTATCGTCATTATATATTTATCTATATTTTTCTGATGAATTGTTAAGTCTTAGCCAACTCTCCCTGTAATATTTAAAACTGATCTACGGAAAAAAGGTAACGAGCAACAAGCCGGTGGCACCAACCTCGCCGAAAGAGTTCCTGTAGTTGCTTCACAATAAAAGCTTCCATGTGATTTGTCTATTTTAAGCTTTTAATGTGAAACAGCAGCAGTAAGTGATTATTGTCTATTACAGAATCTTAGCACCGCAGGTGCAGGCGAGCGTTCTGATTGGTGGAAACAACAACTGATCAACAAATCGTATCAGACTTACATTGGTTTCCAGTCATTTCTGTAAGGTATCAAATCTGTTAAACTATCTGAAATCTAAAACATGTAAGTTTGTGATTTCAGGAGCTGAGAGTTCAACACCATGTTAGTGAAACAGCTGACCTCAGATCTGTCTGAACACATTTCAAGCAGTTTTTCAGAAAGCATGAAAACAGTCAGCTGTTAGCACATGGTGACTGAAGACCTAGAGAAGCTTTGTGTTTTGTGATCAGCACGTTTCAGAAACCTGTAGCAGCTGTTTGATGTAAACATGACATAATCAGATTACATTAGATCATTCTCTAGTAGAATTATCAGTTACTGTGTCTACAGTCGCTGATCTGCGGACGGCTGCTGTTTTTCGTTGAGTTTCTCTTTGAAGTTGCTGAACACTAAAAGTCCTGCAGAGAGAAGTTCATGTTTTCACTGAGTCTTTATTCTCATGTTTCTAATAAAACTGTGCTGTGGAGAAGTTCACCATGTCTGTCATTTTCTGCTGTCTTTACTGCCACTTCCACTGTCTTTACTGACTGTCCTCCTGTCTTCTGACACTTCCACTGTCTTTTATGACTGTCCTCCTGTCTTCACTGACTGTCCTCTTCTTCACTGACTGTCCTCCTTTCTTTACTGACTGTCCTCCTGTCTTTACTGCCTTCCACTGTCTTTACTGACTGTCCTTCTGTCTTTACTGACTGTCCTCCTGTCTTTACTGACACTTCCACTGTCTTTATTGACTGTCCTACTGTCTTTACTGACGCTTCCACTGTCTTTACTGACTGTCCTCCTGTCTTTACTGACGCTTCACTGTCTTTACTGACTGTCCTCCTGTCTTTACTGACTGCTTCCACTGTCTTTACTGACTGTCCTACTGTCTTTACTGACTGCTTCCACTGTCTTTATTGACTGTCCTACGTCTTTACTGACTCTTCCACTGTCCTTACTGACTCTTCCACTGTCTTTACTGACTCTTCCACTGTCCTTACTGACTGTCCTCCTGTCTTTATTGACTGTCCTACTGTCTTTACTGACTCTTCCACTGTCTTTACTGACTCTTCCACTGTCCTTACTGACTCTTCCACTGTCTTTACTGACTCTTCCACTGTCCTTACTGACTGTCCTCCTGTCTTTATTGACACTTCACTGTCTTCTGACTGTCCTCCTGTCTTTATTGACGCTTCCACTGTCTTTACCGACTGTCCTCCTGTCTTTATTGACGCTTCTACTGTCTTTACTGACTGTCCTCCTGTCTTTACTGACTCTTCCACTGTCCTTACTGACTCTTCCACTGTCTTTACTGACTCTTCCACTGTCTTACTGACTGTCCTCCTGTCTTTATTGACTTCCTACTGTCTTTACTGACTCTTCCACTGTCTTACCGACTGTCCTCCTGTCTTTATTGACGCTTCCATTGTCTTTACCGACTGTCCTCCTGTCTTTATTGACGCTTCTACTGTCTTTACTGACTCTTCCACTGTCTTTACTGACTCTTCCACTGTCCTTACTGACTGTCCTCCTGTCTTTATTGACTGTCCTACTGTCT